AGTCACTCCCTAGGTTTTGACCCGACTTTGTGATAAGCCTGTGTTCTTCACATACTGTTTCTTCGCAGTAGACAGAACAGGGTCAGATTAGAGGTTTTTTAAAATAACCTGATAGCTCTCTGGAAAGAGTAATCAAAGTCTAGATAATGGAGATTTAAGCAAAGCTTACATGGTTTACCAGAATTATTTGACAACTGTTTTTACATTATGAAGTCAAGAGTTTTATTTTTTCAAATGAAAAATAACTCAAATATTTCCATACGCTTATAAAAATTTTCCACATGCTTAGGCCTGTGCCAATGCTGTACCCTAAATTTGATGGATACTTGGAGTGCTTACCTTCTTCCTCGTCCCATATTTCCTCTTGAGAAGAAATTTACAAAGGGTTAAAATAAACTTTTATTCTTTTCTGCTGTGTAGTAAACTATTTATGTTTCGTCACTTTGGAAACAATATTACCTGTTCCATATTTGTGTCTGTGAATATTTTTTGTTGAGTAAACTGCTTTGCTGATTTTTTTTTGGCTGTATTTCCTTGCTCTTCTAAGCTACTGTTTCGTTGTGATTGTCAAAAATTGTGTTCAATAGCAAAGTAAGCATCTTTCAGGCTTAGCTTCAGTAATTCTTCAGCTGTTCTTATTGCATGTTGTGTTACTAGGAATACAAAAGCAGTGGTGTTTTTATGGTTTTCTGCAGCATCTGGGGAAGAAAACATCTGAGAATCACTGTGCATGATACTCTGAAAAGTCAGTTCAAGATGTAGTGAAAAAAAAGTAAATAGAATAGTAGAAATTATCACTTAAGAAATGAAATGCAGAATAAAAGACCATATTATGCCAGTATATTAATCCTTTCTTTGTCCAAATTTGAATACTCTGTTCTCTACTGGTGTTCCAGACTCTCCCTTAGCTAGTATGCAGCACTGTGTTTGGGCTAATCAAGAAGGTGGAGGAAAAGCAGTGGAAATCAATACATATATATGAGATAGGCTTGATATAAGGAAAGCAGGAGCATCCTATGCTGATGTCTTAGTGGTTGTGTAGTCTAAGGAATTGCTGCACTTCTCTCTTTCTGGTGCTAATATTCACTTGTATAGATGGGTGGGTCAATTAGTCTCTGACCAGAATATTACCATGATCTAACAGTCTTGCCTGGGGACAGGAATTGCAGCTTTGATCAGAAGGGGTGGCAAAACTGGAGCACCTCTGGTGCTAGAATTGTTCGGAGACAACTTGAGCATGACAGCAGATGGAGGAATGAGGAGGTAGGTGCACTGCAAGTCTGTAAAATCATTAGAGGTATGAAGGTGAATAACCCCAGTCTCCACAAATCTGGAAACTAGGAGAGTAGTCAACTAGTTTTGATTGCTTTCTTATCCTACCCATATACTTTATCTCAGCATCTGATAGACAGCTGTTCTACCTATGAGTTTTATTTTATTTGTTTGCCTATGTGATGTCTGGCAGTTGAACAACCTTCATTTGATGGATGTAGGGAAACTGGAACAGAACTGGGATACTAGTTATATCATCTTTATCTTAACAGCTGGTGCAACCTGATGTTTTGCGGCTCACTGCTCAAAACAGGTGGTAGAAGAAATAGCAATATTTGATTGAATCAAGAGTAAAGAGATGTTAGGAAGAAGGAAATGCTTGAAAGATTTTACTTAATCCTATCTTGAGGTTTATTAGTGGTTTAATCATGCTTGATTAAATTAACCTGTCCTTATGTTCCTCACTTAGAAAGTTTGATTAAAGCAGATACTCTGTGTGATTTTTTTCCTCTTTTTTTGTCTTTTTAATTAGCTGGGGAATAAAATATTTGCATAGAGATGTACTTGTGTTTCTTGCAATTATGTCTGGAATTCAGGTAGGTGGACTGAAGCATGTGTGCCTACACAAATGGTTATTACCATCAACATAGTTCCATGCTTTTTCTTGAAGATGGAGCTCTCTTTAGGATTACTGAAGGTTCACTACCTTTAACTGTCTGAAACCACAGTTTTACATTGCTCACTTCGTAGTATGCTTGCAAAGTACACTAGGGTAAGTAACTGCTGACCACGTAGGAAATCTCGCATTCCCTGCCACTAACAAGGATCCTTCCATAAAAACTACTGGTTTCATGTAGCAAATGAAAGTACTGATTTATTTTGTATGCATTTTCTCTTACCAATTTGATACCTATTTGAGTATCTGAAAAAGAAAAGCAGCTCCTCAGTATCTGCAATGGTTATGGGGAACCTGTTGCTTTTTATTTGAAAGCACATTTTGTAGAAGTTGTACATGCTAAAAATTGGCCAGGTGAGCTTAAAATGAGAGCATTTCTTTTACTTGTTAGCTTTGCAAAATGAATCACAATATTCTGTTGGAAGGGGCCTACAGGGATCAGCAAAGTCCGCCTGCTGAAAGGCTTGACTTAATATAAAAAAAGGCTTGTCTCAATTAAAAAAAAAAAGTCATCTGTTGTGATATACCTTTAGTTACCATTCTCTTTTTTTTTTTTTTTTTTTTTGTGAGTGACCAACATTCTGGTGTTGTCACTGGTTTTACTCTGCAATTGCTAATAATTGGAGTGGAGAGGAGGGGAGAGTAGGGCTTACATGCATTATGATGATTAAACCAAATTCCACTTCTGGCAAAGTAATGAACTCCAAATAGTCTTCTAACAAAGTGATGACCTTATTTTTGCGGTATGTTTTTCTTTGTTGTTTGGGGTTTTTGGGGGCAGAAGGATGGGGAGGATCTTGTGGTTTTGGTATTTTTTTCTTCTTTTTAGCAGGAGCTGGGGGAATTGTTTAATTTCCCTTGTTTGGAGAGAGTGATATGTTAAGGTCAGATAATTGTGAGTTGGATTTTCCGTTAATTCTTGAGACGGTGAAGTTTTTCCAAATGTCTTAAATTCCACTTCCCACCGCTTGAATATTCTTCATTCTTTGTGAAGTTTTCTCTGCAATTTTGACACCCTAATTTAAGATTGCTTCCTGATCCCAGAATGTGATGTTTACAATTAAAAAAACCAAAACTAAACTAAAAAATAAACGCCCCCCCAAACAAATAAAAATAGCCCACATAATAACTCCCTTGCAACAATATGGGAATTGATACTGTTGGGATTTGTTTGACTTCTAATAGGAATATAATAGTGATAATATAGGTGAGGACAGGAAACAGTATAACTAGTGTCTGAGTTAAACTGGAGGACTACAGTGGATTTGGTGGTGTCTTTGAAGATGAAAAGCTGTAGATTCGTGCTTTCTACCAATTGCAGTGATGAGTGCTTGAAGATGACACTGAGCTGGGCAGGGCAGGAGTGTTTATCTGCTGTAGTGCAGGAAGGCTCTCCAGAAGGATCTGGACAGGCTGGATTGATGGGCCAAGACCAGTGGTGTGAGGGTCAACAAGGTGAAGTGCCAGTCCTGCCCGTGGGTGACAACAGCCCCATGGAGGGCTCCAGGCTGGGGGAAGAATGACAGGGAAGGGCAGGGTGTGCTGGTCGACTGGCTGAATATGAGCCCAGGTGGCGAAGAACACCTGTGGCATCTGGCTTGTATCAGCCATGGTGTGGCCACATGCCCAGTTAGTGACCATTGCCCTTCAGTGGGCACTGGTGAGGCCTACAGCTTTAATCTTGAAGTCAGTTTTGTAAGAAGGACAGTGAGGGACTAGAGCATGTCCAGAGTAGGGAATGGAGCTAGGGAAGGGTGTGGAGCACAAGTCTCATGAGGAGAAGCTGAGGTAGCTGAGGGGGTACAGCCTGAAGAAAAGGAGGCTCAGGGGGAAACCTTGCTCTGTACCATCCTCCCTGACAGGAGAATGCAGCCAGGTGGGAGTCTGGCTCTGTTCCCCTGGAACCAGTAACAGGATGAGAGGAAATAGCCTCAAGAAGTGCCAAGAGAGGTTTAGGTTGGCTATTAGGAAACACGTCTTCACAGAAAGGGTGGTCAGGCACTGGCACCCTTTCACTGCTCGCAGCAGTGGTAGAGTCACCATCCCGGGAGGGATTTAAAGCCCCCGCCAGTGCCCCTGGCAGTGCTTTTCCTGGCTGTGTAGATGTGACACTTAGGGTTGGACTAGGGCCACCATGGTTGTGGATTAGCTGCATCCAAGGCCACTGCAGACAGGGATTGGTGGCCTTAATGGCATTAGGCTTGTGGTTGGACTCAGCAATCTTAAAGGTGTTTTCCAAATTCCTAAATGTGTGCAGGTGACATCTACTGTGTGCAGTTCTGGCATCATAACATAAGATACAGAGCTATTGGAGAGCATCCAAAAGAAGGCTACAAAGATGGTGACAGGTCTCCAGGGAAAGCTATATGAGGAACTGTTGAGGGCACTTGGCTTGTTCAGTCTGGAGGAGTCTGAGGGGAGACATCATTGCACTCTGCAGCTTCCTCCCAAGAGGCAGGGGAGGGACAAGACAATGACCTCTGCTCTCTGTGACCAGTGACGGGACCTGAGAAAACTGCTGGAGCTGTGTCAAGGGAGGTTTAGGCTGCACATCAAAAAAAGGTTCTTTCCCTAGAGGGTGGTTGGGCACTGGTCATGGGCCCAAGGCTGACAGAGCTCAGGAAGCATTTGGACAACTCTCAGGCATGTGGTGTGATGGTTGGGGCTGTCTTGTGCAGGGCCAGGAGCTGGACTTGATGATCCCTGTGGGTCCTTCAGTACTCAGGATATTCTATGGTTCTAAATTACCCTGATTCCCTTAATCTAGAAGTGAATTCAGATGGCATATGGGAGGTAAGTGGACGGCAAAGCCAGCACTCTTGCACCTGTGAAGAAGTGTGGGCTGCAGTGGAGAAAAGAAAGGATGTGAACGGCCTAAGGAGCTAAAGCCAGTCTCAGAAGATTGGCTGCAGACCCCTTTCATCTGCTGGGCACCAGACTGCAAATATGTGAGAGCGAGGAGAACTTAGGTTAAGGGAGGCCGCTGTGGGAGATGGCTCAGCAGCTTTGGGTAGGGCTGTCTGAACTAGTCTGGGGCTAGACTAAACAGTTGTTAATGCTGTAATTTACAAAGGCCAGGATTTTGTGCTGCAACGTGGAGTGGAATTACATCATCCACCGGTAGCGCCGGGGGGAAGGAGCGCGGGCGGGGACGGCGAGGCGGCGGTCGGTGACGTGACGTGGCTGCTGCCGCCGCGGCCGCGGATTGGCTGCGGCCGAGGCCGCTCCGGACGGGGATTGGCTGCGGTGGGTCAGCGGGGCCGCGGCGGCGGGAGCGCGCCCGCGGGTGNNGCTCCGCGGGCCCGCTGCGGTGCGGAGCGCGCGGGGTCCGGAAGCCCCGGGGAGAGCCGCGCGGCCCCTCAGGCCCCGCGCCGCAGGGAGGCCGCCGAGGCCCGGCCCTGCGCCGGTGCTGCTGCTCCACCGCCCCTCCTGTGCTGCAGAACTCGTCTGCAGGCTGGATTTGGCAGAATAGACTACCAGGCTCCTGCAGGTACTGCCCTGTAAAGCACTCGAAGGGGTTCCGAGCCAGGACAAGGTGCTGCTCTGCTGCGCCAGGCAGTGCTGCCGTGACCGCACTGTACTGCTGGGACGCGTTATTGAGAGGAAGGAATCGCATAGTACCTGATGATTTGAATTGCCGCTTCTCTGCGCGTGTACCCTCTGCAGAACCCGGGTGAACCTATATGCGAGCTGCTCTAAAGACCGTTTATTTGAAGTTTTAATTTATTTTAGTCAGTTCTTCTGAACTGGCTTCCCTCTGGGAATGTTTCTAGGGTTAAAGTTTGCACGAAGAACTGCAGATTTTTTTTTTTTTCCCTTGCAGAAGTTGCAGTTGTTAAGGTAATGAAGCGGTTTAAATAGTAAAAGCCTCTGAATGTTACCGAGCACTTAAAATTTGTGTTGTGGGAAAGACTTACTTCATAGAAATTCAGGAAATGTGTATATTTCCTTTGAACTTGATTTATCTCTTTTTCTGTGCTTAAGTGTTCTGCAAAATAGTTCTGTCGATCAGAGTTTGACTTCCAGATTTTTTTACTTGTGGAATGTCTTAATGCTCAGATATTTACCTTTATATCTAAAACTGTGAAAACAGTTTATTTCGTTTAATCAATTCACTAAAAGTAATTGTGGACATGCTCTGGCTTTGCAGCCAGCAGACTCGACAAACAGTGTTATAGACTCTGGTTTTCCAAGGCACAGATTTTACGATTTGAGATGGCTGGTTGCTTTGGAGACTGATCTGGAACAGCACGTAAATGTACAGTGCTACTTAACAACTGTTTTTATGATAATAAAGACATGAAAACTATGTAATGGTATTGTTTTTTCGAGCAATAGTACAAGGGTAACTTTCATTATTTAAAAAGATGATAGGAAAGTGATGATTTTAAAGCTCATGTTTGGAGACTAGTTTGGAAGAATTAGGTTTTTCTGGTAATGGAAAAAAATTTAAGCTGATACTAGGAGGAATACCTGAATAATGCATTTTGCTTTTTTTTTATTGCTTCCTCCAAGTAAGGCAGGAAAGTTTTATTTTTTTAAAAAAAGATTTTAAATTTAAAAATTTTTTTGTCACTGAATGTCAGAATCCTTCCAGCTATGAAAGTGGTGGAAATGTGCGTGGAATGGCAAATGAGGATTGAAATTAACTTTAAATCCTTGACTGAGAAGAGGCAAGGAGTTTGATTAGCCTGAAAGAAGGCCTGTAGTTTACATCATACCGTAAACTGTGCTCTGTCCTTTCTGGCAGCATGCATTTCCATTTCACAAACTGATGCTTGCTGCTGTTTTAAACTCGCTGTTTTCTTGTTAACTTGCTCTCCTTGCCTTCTTTCACAACCTAGTTTCAAAAACATGCTATATTTTATAATCTTTTTCCTTCAAAAGATCCACACTGACACTTTTCACTCTTCATTGTCTGTCTTCTTTTAGGAAAGTTGTCTCTGGCAAAGGGAAACAGGAGACAGTCTTCCAGAAGGACAAGGTTGCTCTTAGTTGCAAGCAGCCTGTAGTGAGAATGCGAAGTGGTTCTCCAGCAGATCAGTAGGAACAGCCAAGGAGATGGCACAGTTTTATCTGGCCAGTGTGGGTCTGTATTCTGTGACAGCGAAGCACCAAGTGGAGGTTGTTACTATAGCAGGAGTTGAAGGTCTGACAGGACACTTAAGAGGAGGTGTCTGGAGGTGAGACTTCAGGTAGCATGCCTGTTTCTGTCCTTTAAGGGGCATAGCCTGTAGAGGGAGATGAAGGGGACTGGGCAGTTCCACTCAGGGTATTTGTTGTGGAAGGGGGTCTGGATAAAGAACCTGGTGTTTGCTAGCTCATGTCAGGAGCTGCTGGATCTGGAGCATCTCTCTGAGACCCAGCTAAGACCCCCTTGAGAAGAGAGTGTCTAACAGAAGAGGTCAAGGTGATCTTCAAGGTGGAAGGCTGAAACATAAATAGTGAGAATTGTGCAACCCCAGAGGCAGGCTCATGAGATGCCTGGGAAGGGTTCAAAGGGGGAACCTTTGTCTAGGTACTACTGTTCCCCAGCTTTAAGCTTACCCTGTTATGAGCAGAGAACTTTGGCTACTTGCTTAGTTGCAGGATCTGCTCAGAGTCCTTTGTCTGCCTCATCCTGGCAATGGCCAGTATTTCACATGAAATACAGAACTGTGAGGGATATTGCAGATTAATATTAAAATTCCATACAATGTAAGCTTTACTAGACAAAACAGGAGGAACATTATGTACTGGTGGCTGCCTTGTCTGATGTAGACGTGTATATTTTGGTAAGGATTATAATGAGGGATAATAGTACACTGATGCAAGGTAATGAGCATCTTCAAGTGTTCATGTACATGTATGCCACATCTGTCAGTGCTGTAAATGTCCTGGTATTTGCAATAGCAGTCTTCCAGTGCAAATACTATAAGGTCTCCTTGTGGTGTTTTCAATGTACCATAGTTTGTGCAGTTTTGTTTGCTGTATTTCAATGGTGCTTGAAAATTGATTGAAAGTAAGGAAAGGAAGCAAAGTTTTGTAAAAGGGGAAGGAGAAGTTTTGTGGTTTAAATGCTGTCTGGGAGAGCTGGATTCTTCTTAATCTCGTTTGTTTCCATGGTGAGACTAGATGCATTACTTGAACTAGACCTGTCATAGGAGATGGCTAATTGCATATCCCTTGTTTGCTGTGTATTTACTCTAGTAACTTTTAGTGTTTAAAAGTTCAGTCAAGGGAAACTAATGCCAAGTGCTTGGAAATTTGTGTCTTTACTTGTAATCATGGATGAGGTCTTGTAATTTGATAGTGTTCAGGGAAACGTGAATGAGCATATTTCCTATATTAAATAGGGTTGAGATTCATGAGAAATATAGTAGATGCTCTATTGTGAGGTGTACAGAGAAGTCTGTATGATACAATCTCTCTACTTTTATCTTCCAGGCTTCTCCATGAAAAAAATACTACTTTTATCCATTGCAGGTACATTCACTAATAGTGTTTTCCCTTCTCAGGGAGCCATGTTTTATTCTTTACCTTTAGTAAAGATCTGGCAGCAGGTAAGGAAGAGGGGCCTTCATTTCTTCTATATCATAGTCCGTGAGCAAATTATGCAAAATGGAGAGTGGGCATGAGGAAATTGTATTAAGATGGTACAGGAAAAGAGGAGTTGGACTGAGAGAGTGGGTGAGGAGAGAAATATAGATGGAAAGTCATTGCTATTTAACCATCCTCCCTTCGTTTTAACTTGCAGATATCCCTGATTTGCAGAAGCATCTCAAAATGTTGTGTCGAGCTGCTCTGAGCCCTCTTGTCCGTTCCCCTGGATGGTGCTTTATGTCATCGCCACATGCCATCGCAGCCATTTCCCGTTTATGTATGTATGAGAGAAAGCACACATTTCTAAAATGTTGGTCAGTATGTGTCTGAACATGCCTCTGCTCTTTCCTATGTTGGAAGGAAAACCATCTCATTAATATCATTCAAAACTTACAACCTCTGAAGTGAACTGTAGTGGAAGCTCTACTTTCTCAGTGTTACTTTCTCCCTTAACTCAATAATATTCAGCTGGATGTCTGTGTATTTTTCATTCTGACATACATTTCAAGGAAAAAAAAAAGTTGTAAAAGTACTGCTGCTGTAAAAGTTCCTTATTTCAACCTCATACATTCATGGAAAACAAGATCTGATTGTGTCTGCTCCCCCATCTGCATTTTCAGATGTCTTGAGTAAAGTAAAGAGCAAAACTCAAATTTACTTGGATTAAATTCAAGTGGAAAGATGCATGCAGGAAACCTAAGTGTAAATACATAGGTTCCCTGTAAATAGTTCTTCCCTGAAAACCTAATTTAAGAGACCCATTCAGTGTCTGCTTGATTAATGGTCTGAAATACAAAAGGTAAGGATAGATAAACTCTGTTAGATCAAGGGAGTAGCTGTTTACCATTCCATGCAAGATTAATTTCCCACTGGTCTGTCTATTAACAGTTCTCTTTTATTAACAAGTATATGAATGAGATGTTAAGTCTTGAAAATTCAAAACTTTTTATTTGTGAGCTACAGCTCTGTTGACTTTTGTATTTGTAACATTTCTAAGTATTCCTCATAATATGAAGTCAGTAATTTTCACAGTGCTACCTATGAGAAGTTTGTTCCTAAGTATTGACAGTATCCAGCAGTGGAGCAACTCTTGTCACTTCATCAGTTGTGATATAAAGCTGGAGTCATCGTTTATCAAAGGGATTTTTTTTTGTTCTCCATTGTTTTCTGTTTGTTCTCCACATTTTTTTTTCTGTTCTGTTCAGCTTGTGTATTTTGAAATTCTGCTTCTTTACTCCTGAGAGGCAAGCCTTGTGCAAGCTGCAGAGTGAAGGATCTGCAGTTCCAAATACTTAAGTATGTTTCATGTGTGTTCCTTTCTTTTAGGGAAGTGAAACTGTTGACAGGTATGGGATATAAAAACTGGAATTCCTTTAAGCCTGCTTGTCCAAAACCTGGACTAGATGGCTATGTCAGTTCCTCCTAGTTGCATGTGGAGCAAGTTAATGGGCTTGCATTTCCATAAATGTTTTGCTTGTGTAATGTGGAAGCCAATTTCACATCTCGGTCCAGCGTAAAATAACAAAAACCAGTAGATTTATGTGGCCATAGAGCAAGATTAATGATTAGGACTTTAGTGGGGATGAATTGAATTCTCTGCTTGTTCTAGAACTGTGTCTTTTTCCTTATTTTTCTTTAAAAAGTAAATGGTTTCTTTCCAGATACTGATTAGCTCTCAACAGCTACCTTATTGGAACCTTCTAAACCCTTTTCTTGAAGCGAAGAGAACTGGAAATAAACTCCTTTCTGATTATACTGTGTAGGTTAGGCAAATACTAAATAGTAAGGTGTAATGTTCACTAATTTGTAAAGATGCCTCTGCATCTTCAGATGATAGATTGGTTAGGACTGACTAGAACAGAATAGTTAGTTGTAAGACACCTAGAGTGGCCAGCTAGTTCCACAGCCTGATGCTTCAGGACTAGCTAAAGCACACTATGATCATTGTCCAACTGCCACCTGAACATTGACAGGCTTGGAGCACAAACACCTCTTCAAGAGGCCTGTTCAAGGGCTTGAACACCACTATGTCAC